AAATTCCAACGCTATGATTTTGAACCTAAACTAAATCCTTAAAGTCATTTCATCAAAAAAGGTTACGATTTGAAAACAAATATTTTGTGTCATTACGTATAATTTCAAACACTTTTGAGCCATGGATTCCTGAACAATTTTAACTATGGTAAGCCTGAGTCAAAATTCGCAAATAATTGTTATGTAATATTTCACGGTAGAATATGAACATATTTACAAGTGTTCACCCACCGTAACACCCGGTGACTGGGTATTAAGTAATTTTGTTTCTCACTGTTTAACAATTGTCTAAGCATTACGTCATTTTTCACTACCACCAGTAAAGCGGTGGTCAGGGCTCAAAATTTTAACTTTCAAATTGAGTGCAATACAACGGTTCCCAAATAGACTTTCCACACATCTTGTGTCTTTTATTTCCCAAAATTTATAAATATGTTAGCTATCTTGGTTTTGCTCAGCATCCAACCTTTTGATTTGCATTTTTATAAGCAAACAATTAGCTTCATCTTACTTTTTCTTATCAAAACGTTTCGGCACTCGTTCCTTCCGATATTCTTAATATGCTTTTAACCTTCATAGAATTTGAAAGTTAACTTATTATTTAATCAGTGGTGGGGGTGGATTTTCCTCGTTTCTGTGTAGGGATATTTCTTCTAGTTTTTATTTATTACTGCTCAGTTATTTCCGCTTCGTCGATAAAAGAGAACCATTTAGTTCTGCCGTCAAGCGTGACAAATAGTAACAACATACCAAGGTGGTGGACATGGTTGGGTGATACCAACGCACGAAAAGTCACTTAGTGCCGTGAGGTATCGAGAGAGTTAAAGATACTAAGTAAATAAACATGGAAGATCAGCTGACCAAATTAAAAACTGATGGAAGAAAATTCGCATTGGAATTATTAACCAGAATCTGAAAAATGCTTTTGAGGAAGGCACCAGGAGGATTTGAACCCAAAATAAACCTTATAAGATTTAGTAAATCCAGTACGACTGAATTTCATTCATGACGCCGAGGAATTTGTGTTGACATCGTTAATGTGCTTGCCAAAATCCTGGAAAATCCTTCCGAATCTGGGAACTGTTTATTCAACGTGCTATCCTCCCAGATTACATTGATTCATACTAAAAATGTCTACAGCCAGTATCTGGTCGGACATACTTTAAGAAAGGCCATGTGCTTTTCTAAGAAAGAAGCTCTTTATGGAAAGATAACATTCATCAATGTCATTTCCCTTGACAAATGGCTATATAAGTGAGGACCGTGGTCGCTTGTCCATTTCCCGTTACGCAGTATTTTTTGTTGTGTCCAGAAACACCTGGCTCTCTCTCTTCTCTCTTCTTTTCTCTTTCTTTCTTTCTTTTCCGACAAATTAAGAAAAGCCGACACACAGACAAAAGCTTCTACCTTTGATGCTAACTTTCTTAGTAGAAATAAAGCAGAATGATTTTAGTTTTTAGCAGCCTTTATTTCATTAAACTGTTAATAGTTTTCACACTACCCTTTATTTCTTCTGTCTATAAATTTTGCTTTTCCAGAAAATAGCCGATCAAGCAAGCTACAGTTCGTAAGAGAGAACAAAAGAATACTTCGATAATCACACATCATGGCGGACACACAACATTAAATAACCAAAGAACTCTACCGGGTAACCAACGACAAGTAAAAATAGTAAACTAACGGAAATACCCACACCTGCTTCAAGTTACCCGTCCCTTGCTCTGGCTCTAAGAAATGTACATTAGGCACCGAGACAAATAGGTCTAGCAGTCAGTTGCAGGCAGGTTAGGTTTCAAGACTGCATGTTGTCAAAAGTCTTCGTAAATTTGGTGATATAGTAAATTTGACTTCAATTATGGACCCGGCAGGGTCAACTTGAATACTGTAGAAAAGGAAAGATAAATAAGTTAATTCGTGGGAATTTGTGGACATAATAATTTTGAGTTCAATCCCAGGGTCAGGCAGTGTCTACTTAAATACTGTAGAAAAGGGACGATAAATAAGTTGATTCGTGGAAATTTGTGGACATAATAATTGTGAGTTCAATCCTAGGGTCAGGCAGTGTCTACTTAGATACTGTGGAAACAGGGCGATAAATAAATACTAAATAAGGGCTACACAACAAAATTATAGACATGCACAGCGGAACGAGAACACTCTACCCATGTATATTAAATTGAGGGTTGAGGTACGAAATTACCTGACGAAGTCCGGAGGGAAAAGCCGCCGAAACGTTGTGATAACAAATACATACATACATACATACATACACACACATATCTATATCTATCTATATATATATTTTATAAATTTTACTTATTTAAAAATATGGTTCCATCGCTACACAGGAATTACCATGTTTCAAAAACAGAAGCTAAAAACTTCAAATTCAATTATAGAATTAAATTAAAATCCCTAGTTCTTTTTTATTTGCAAGTGAATTTTGGAAAAACTTATTTTGAAATTTATTGAGTACATATCATATTTTTAAAATTAGTAAATTTATAATATTTATGCTCTGTAGATTGGCTTTCAGCACTATTTTTAAAAAAAAAAATATTAGTAAGAACAGCTGATTATATATCTTACTGTTCTTTCTCTTTATTATAATATATACATATATATATATATATATATATATATATATATATATATATATATATATATATATATATGTTTCTGATAATAATGACGATTCCCATTCCAGAAATTCTTATCTTTTCATTGGTCTGAGTAACTTTTCACCTTACACACCTACTACATCTGTTTGCTGTTATCATTCCACTAATGTCGTTAAGGGTTCAACTAACAGTTTTCGTGTGTTTTACTTGCGTTCAGTAAGTTCAGTGAATATCAATATCTTTAGGCCTTTAATAATTGTCTCGGAAATTTCATGTCTCATTTTAATTGTGAGTATAAGTTTCCTTATTGTTCCTATTCTGAAATCTTCCTCATTGCTCACAAAATCTGTCCATAGCTTCGTCGGTGGTTCTATATATGTTTCGTCAAGTTTCTACCTCTTTGAGGAAATTGTCTAGCACTTCCTGCTATATACATGATTAGATATTACATAGCAGTTCAGTTCTTTTTTAACAAAATTTCCGTATTTCTTAGTACATTGTTTAGCTTTTCTAAGGCGTCTTTCGCTATTCTAAAGCACCTTCAGATGTCACATTTTTCCTTCTCTGTTAGTATCTCGTTCAATTTCTGTACCTGATTAATTTTGAAGTCACCAATAGTATCTCACATATTGGAGTAATTGTTTTGGGCACTTGAACATGGCGTAATGGTTAGAAATCTTTTCTTGCTAGATTATTTACGATCCTGAGTTCGATCCTTACTGGTTGCCCTTTCGGCCTTGTGTCATATCTGAGTCACGCTTAGATATTCGCTAGTGGACTGTCATGTTTGCTGATGATTATCTTCTTACAGTCAGTAATTTGTTTTTTCTTCCTGTTTTCAATATTTGCCTCGTCTAAGTGTTTTTTAAATGTCTTTTCTGAGTGCCCCATAAAGACAATATTATCTCTTTCATAATTATCAAATTTTATGTTACATTAGCTCCAGTGAGAGACATTACTTAAAATGTGGGTGAGAGTAAAGTTTAACGATATTATATGAGTTTCAATTATATTTACAGGTTAAGCAATTTCTTCTTTTCCGTGCTGTTTCCCTTCAGACAATTGGCGATAAAGGCTCTCAACATTTTCCTGTCGTTTATAGCTCCTTTGTTTTCTTTCCTAAAACCTGCTCCGCCATCCATTTACTCAGACTCCTAAGGAGGGTTATGCGTTGTAATCATCTGGTCTTATTACATTCAATCTGTCTTGTGAGTATCAAAATTTCCAAGCCCTCTTTCCTCATTATGTGCCAAAAAAGTTCAAATGCTTCTTCCTGATGTTATGTATAAGTATCCTTTTTGTTTCCATCTTCTCCAAAATTTCGTCGCTGCTCATATGATCGGTCCATATTATTCTCAGCATCCTTCTGTAGAACCACATTTCTGTTGCTTCAAGTCTCTTCTTCATCTGTGAAGAGATTGCCCAGCATCAACTTATATTGCAGGACTTATATTACGTAGCAGTTCAGCACACTTTGTTTCTAACAAAAGGTTTCTGTCTCTTAATGCGTTGCTTAGCTTTAGGAAGCATCTTTCATATCGCAATACGCCTTCTAATTTAAGAGTCGCACCTTTCTGCCATTATTAAAACACTTCCTAGATATTTCAGTTGTTGTACTTGTTTGATTTCGATATTTCTAATTATTAATTTGCATGCTGGGCGTTACTTTCTGTACCAATTATACAGCCTCGCTTCTTGCAATTGATGATTACTCCTTTCTTCTCGCTTTCCTTCACTACATTCCCATATATTTATGTTTAAATCTGCAGTTTATAATTTCAATGTTGGGCTATTCCTTTTGTTTTTCACAGTTATCAATTTCGCAGATTCTCACTTTATCAAATACGGTCGGGTAAAATAACATTTAATGTTGGGACATTGTAAGAGTCAGTGCGTGGTACACGCTTAGGCGATCATGTATCTTTCGATTCATGACTGACGAGGCAGATTTTTTCCGCAGTAGGTTGCCATTTCTTTCTATGGTAGACCAGTTTCAATCCAAGGCTGTATAACCCGGTCTCTTCTGCTATTTACCCATAGCTTCCGAGCAATGTTAATTAAGTTATGTGACATGCATGATACATGATTAGGCGATCATGTATCTTTCGATACCTGACTGACGCGGCAGATTTTTTCCCGTAGTATGTTGCCATTTCTTTCTGCGGTAGATCATTGGCCATCCAAGTCTATAGAACCCAGGCTGTCCTGCTATTTACACATAGAGAAGAAGAGGATTCATACTTTTCCCAAGAGTATTAACACGTAAGTGAATGTAATGGATTCGACTGGAATTCAAACTCAGCTCTCCGATTGCTTAATGCGAGCCGCTATCCATTACTCCACTGTGTCTTGTCACACTATAAAAAGTTAACCTAACTCATGCGGAGTAACATATCTTTCATCATTTTTTTTATATTGACTCGTTTCGGGAATGTTCTCGACGAATTCGGGGTTGACGCTTATGCCTCAATAAGTAAGATAAGAAGTTAGTTTTACTTAAAGAGGCCTTGACCCAACAAATGAAAAAGTGTTTTGCAGACCTATTAGAATAAGGAATCGCATAAAGTGCTTCGTGGGGAAAAAGAAGAACGATCGCTTTCTTAACTTCTAAAGTAAAAATATATCTTCTGCAAATGGACGATCTCTGATTCTTCATTCTCGATAAATGCAAGCAAAGATAAACAGATTCGATTAAGATTAGGCCAAGGAACGTAAAATAAAATAATTAAACCCCAACAGAATTTGACCCGATCATCAAAATGTAAATGTGTCGAAAGACATGACTTACCTCAGAATTAGAAACGAGTGCGAATGTGTCTTGCCTGCAAAGTGATGACAAAAAAGAGCATCATTCTTTAATTTTCAAAAGCTTCCCAGCTGGGATCTGCCATGTCATTTTGACGGTAGCAAATCCCCCCTTTTCCTTTGTGTCCCTTTGGTAAAGAATAAGTTCCATTTTGACAGCTTCTTTTACCAGAACTCTTCTTGTATAGAACAACTCCATGACAGTTTGCTTTTTTGATCATTACAATCTTAGCCTCTTCAAATTCACAATTAACCGATATCTGTCCTACACGTCTTCATAATATAAAATTCATATTTTCACCATATCCCCGCCTCTCACAGCAACAACTTCATTCAGTGACACTTGTCGGGTGAACTACAGAAAAAAAAATTAAATCGGAAAATATAAGTTGATTCTTACTGCATATCTAACCTTATTTATTAGTTACACCGCCGGTCATCAGGGGTAAACATTGTTATGAATGCTAGCCTCGTTTTGAATAATCTGACATTACATTTTTAACATATTCTTCCATGTTATCTCCAGGTTTTTCAGTTGAGTTTTCCTCCTTATCTTCATTACTCCAGGTTGATCGTTTCAAAAGAATTATAAAAAAATTAAAAAATGCGATAAGATCCATTCACCTAAAGAGAAGAAAGATAATCAGGAAGCAGAGTGATAATTTACAATATCAAAGTTAACGGAATAAGAATTACAGAAATATGAGAGTTTATATTCGAATATAGACTCATTTGAACTAAACGAATAATTGACATTCCAGACATATGATGACATCGGTCTTTCATTGTATCAATTTCTGTTTAATATTCAGTCGTTTCAACATCCTGTTTCTGGGTATTGACTGATTGAGTTGCAGCTGATGATTTCTCGCCATGATTAAGAAAATAAATTTAAAGTCAGTAGTAGCCGCATGAAATTACAACTGGACATCCTGAGACGAAAGTAATATGAGATGCGTTGAAAAACGTGGGTATCTACCCGTAATAAACGTCTTCTACCTCGGCCGCTGCTTCCAAAACTAATATAGTTTTTTTTCTCTCTTCGACTCGAAGCGGAGGCGAAACTATATTAAATCATATTCGTGGGCTTCAGAGAAATTTGCTCTATGATTAAATAATTCAATTATCTTCGTTCGGTTCATGTGAGTTCATTCGCTCGCTTGGTACGGTTGTGTTATTTTCAAGAGATTCTCTCTGATGTACGCTTCATTTCAAAGTGATCACAACTCCGAACTGAAGCATCAAGATGCACGCGTGTGTGTTCATGTGTGGACAGATACGTGCGTTTAGCAAAGGAAGCCTGCACTGAAGGCAAAGCATTGTGGGCTTGTGGCAAATATAAGGATATGTACTCTTAGAGTCATGATTTTAAATACAATAACTACATTGTTAAAATGATCGCATATTCGTGGCGGAAAAGTAATCAATATCTAGGACATAGTTTAAACAGATGCTGAAAAAATAAGTACTGTTAGATTCACATATGGCTGATAATCGTTTAAGTTGATTTTTATGGTCACATATTTCATATATATATATCGCTCACTGAGGTAAACTGTTCTAGTTCCACGTGCCATGTCTAATGGATGTCAGTCAATTCCCCTCTGAAAGTTCTCCACTGCCTTAACCAGGTATTGAACTCACACTCTTTGGGTCCTGCCACTGGATCTAACTACAGCCTTTATCCACCGTGCCATGTGTCCTTGAGTTTCTGGGTATTATAAACCTAATGCATTCAGGAACCATTTTTTACCAGTGATCATATTGCAATTTTTGTTATTATCATTACATGCTTTTTACCTGAGCTCATATTGCAAATTTTGTTATTATCGCTTTTCTCTGTCACTACTTACTGGTTCCCATATTAATGAATGAATATCAAATATACCAAATTGCATGCTGGTGTAATTAAAATAATGCTTGATGTATAATAACAGCGCTATGATTTATATAATAAAAATATATTTTTACTTCAGATGCTGATTTAACAATTATATATATATATATATATATATATATATATATATATATATAGGTAAGGATTATTGCAGCATTAACAACTGAAACAAGGAGACCATCCAGAAGAGTCTCAGGAGATACTGAAGACGTCTGAAGGCCGTGGTTGAAGCCAATGATGATTTTATTGAAATTTACTTTAGTATTTCAAGGTACTTTTGTGTAATTTTGGTAAATATGCCTGTTTAAATGAGGTGACAATGTTATTTTCATTTTTGCGTCATTAAAACGAGTGTTTAGCCATCGCGCGCCACACACACACATACACACACACACACACACACACACACACACACACACACACACACACACACACACATATATATTTATATATATAAGTATTCTCATCCAAAGACGGACTGTTTCGCTGTTCCGCTGTTTCACAGCTCATCAGTGTGGTTAGACATCCGATTACCTCAAGCCGGGATCGAAACACGACTGATTTGGTATCAGTCGGAGACTCTACCCCTAATCTATCTATCTATCTATCTATCTATCTATCTATCTATCTATCTATCTATCTATCTATCTATCTATCTATCTATCATTGGGAGGCACGATGGAGTAATGAACTTGGCTGGTATTTGAGTTAGTGTCGGTCTATTAAAAAAAAAAAAAAAAAATCTTTCAACACACCATTTCCGATGATGAATAAGTTGAGATTTATACTGGGTGCCAGATGTTTTATATAATTGAGGGCCGAGTTCGAATTCAAGTCTAGTTCAATGCATTCACTTATGTAATAATACCTTTGAGAAATATATGAATCCATCTCTTCTTACCATCCAGCAACGGGTAAATAGAAGGAAAGAATAGATAAACGTTCTGTTTATTTATTAAACTGTATATTTATTTTCATCTACTGTCATGAATTTATTGTTATCTACTGTCTTCTTGGTTGCTCTTCTTTTGCTCACCATTTTTAATAATGTTTCCCTTTTTTCTTATTCTTTCATACTCAGTGACCCCTTGTATCTTATTGACTCTACTGCCTGGAATGCATTTATATGATTTAATAATATTGAGAAATTTTATTGATCGCTGCATATATATTTAATGATATATATTGGGTGTATTTTATATATACTTGTAGTAAATAGCTAAAACAATTTGAAAACCTTATAAAACGATTTTGTCATGTTTCACCGATGAACTGTCGTCATTTGAACAAGTATTTTATTTCAACAAAGTCTACATTATTGTGGCAAATATGATTCACGTCTGAACGCTTAATTTTTACTTCAACTGTATCGGTACAGAAATTCAAATCGATGTTATTTACATGCACGATGTTTCGGCCGTTATACTCTCTCTCCTTCTTCAGGTTAAACGAAGCCTTTATTTAGTCCACTGGGGTAGATTGTTCTAGTTCCACGTGTCATGCCTTTTCTGGATATCTCAGTTTCAATTAATTACCTTTCGTAAATCAACTCTCTCAAATTTTTGTTCGCCTCTGTGACCAGATATTGAACTCACAACTCTTTGGCTCATGTGACTGTATTACTTCACCCAATGCTTTTATCCATGCAACCTTAGGACATCAGTGAAGGAATTTTTTGAGAACTATGTTTTTTTTACAAAAATTTTTTTTTGATGTTTGTAATTTATTTTCTCTAGGACTCTGTATTATTGCTTCCCATGTTGTAAACATATATATATGCTGACACCGGCAAGGATTTTGTGACCTAGAATATGCGCACATTCCAACAGTTTTGTATTTTCGTCTGGATTTAAATATTATCTATTTAACCTCATGCCATCGATATGTGAAGAATATTAGTGATTCTTCTACTTGATGGTCACAGTTTATTGCGCTTCTGCGGTATTATTTTTTCAGGAAATGTATCTGTTTTTTCTTTTCATAATGTTTATTTACAAACATGGGATGGCGTACACACAATCATGTTCTCCTCTATGGGATTTACAAGGAAGAGTTGCCTGCGAAGCTTTGAAAACACCTTATGAAAATGAACCACAGATAGATGTGAGTTTTTTAATTTAATCCTAAATTCAAATAGGGTAGATTGTAAATCCGAGCCATTTTTCTGAGTGTTGTTCCTCTATGCCCAGCTTTGTCCTGCACCCAGGTTTCGGTTCCAAGTTCCAAATTATGTAGCCTGAAGAAAAGGAGAGTGTATGAATATGAGAATATATATAGCTGGCCACATGTATTCAAGGATACCCATCTACTAGGGCGACTAGCCAATCCCTATTGCAGACGCTTACTCAGGCACATTTGTGTTTATTCTACACGGACAAGAGCCCACCTGTGGTTTATACTGCAATTATTTTTATAGACCTTTGTTGAAAAAGAGTTTCACAGAAAGAACGTGTTATCTCTATTAGCCATTTGAACAAGGCCAGCAAGTTTTTGACATGACATTTATGAAAAGTGACTTCTTGTATAAAGTAGAAATGAAGATGATTTCCGCCTTATTCTGTCTCAATTTTCCTGTCCTGGCTCAATCCGTTTATGATTTTATCTTTGTAGAAGTGTGTTGTTGGGTACAGACGCCCGTCCGATTATAAATATAGCAGGCAAACATAGATTTTAGCAACCCGGGTCAATGACCAACCAACCGTCACTTGAAAAGCGAAATTCAAACTCGTAATCCTGGAAATAACTAAAAACCACACTTCTTTAAAATTGGCCACCCTGTGCAGTCTGGAAGTTAAAATCTGGAAGCATGGAAACCATTTGACTACATTTCCCAAGAAGTCATAGCAATTTCCATTTATTAAAGGAAAGTACACAATGGTGTATAATTGTCGTCTTCTTCTTGAATGGACTTGGAATTATTAAAATGTAAATATCAATATGCGAGTTAAAATATGCATATGGCGTTGTCTGTGGTTATATGTGAAGGTGTATTAGCTTATATGAATGTGTCTGTTTACGTATACTTAGTCCACTTCGATTTTTTGGCCCCGCAACTCATGTTACAATTTTCTCTCTATTTTATTAACGCGTTTACTCTTTAATCACATTTTTAATTAAAACGAAAACTAAGAATAAATAAATAAAAATCGGATGCCACCACTGAAGTTTAAAAACTGCAAAATAAAAAAAAAAAGTATGAAATGGTATGTTGGCCAACTAATCGATATTAAATACAGAATGATAGAAAGCAGTGAGATTTTATCGTGGAAGAAAGAGTAAAACAAAATGGCCATGGTGGTGGGGGGATGAAAATAAATAGAGTTTAAAAGAAAAGATTGGCTTTCAAATAGAAGAGAGAAAGAACGTGAGAGATTAAAAGAATGAGGTCCTTTTATTCTAAGAAAAATACGTGCTTTCGGAGTGATAATGAAATAATGCTGTACAGTTCATTTTTTTTTTAAATCGGTATCACTACAAGCAAGGCACTAAAGCCACTAAGATAGAAGGGGTGTCAGAACAGGAGGAATTAGGAACAAAAACATTATATCCTGATGAAAAAGCAAAAAACAATCAGGAGGACTGTGACAAAGTGACTGACATGTGCTTTTTAATTTTGCAAATTAAAGTTGACTGGGAAGCATGGAGCAGGAAGAGAGTTCCACCGTCTTGGAAGTTTTCTCTCAGAAAACTGTTAGATTTTTTACGGTTACATCTAGCCAGCTCAGCTGTAAATCTTGAGACCTCGACGCCCATCGAGTACTGCGCTTAAATTAAAAAAAACTTCTGGTACCGTAAAAATAGCTCATCCAACATTCAACATATACAATTTATTTAAAACAAGGCATAGATAGGTAACCTTATTAAACTGTGGGAAAGTCTTTATGAAGAAAGAAAGAAAAGGTGTTGGGGAAAACATTATTTGAAGATCTTCATATCTGAGAGGAGAATAATGGGAGACGTTTTTTCTTCAAAGCAGGATTACCCAGGTTAGTTTCTTTTTAAAGAAGAAACCCAGAAAGACGTGCATCTTGAATGCCAAAGATCGTTGAATAGAAGAAAAGCAGAAAAGGGGAAGAAATAATACTTTTTTTTAATTTTTTATTTTTAAAGCTCTGCCTCAAAGAGAAAGTGAATAATCAAGAGGAGGAGGAGAAATGTTTTTTTATCTACAAAAAGAATCCAATAGATTAAATTTAAAAAGAGAAAATAAGATCGATAGAAAAATATTCCTCTTGAACGATTTTAAACAATTGAACAAGTATTAAAATATATATATATAATAATATATAAATATTAAGAGAGAAAATTTCTTTAAATTTTCTTAGTCCATTAAGAGAGGGGGGGAGAAATATTTTTCATAAAGGGGATAATAGAGATAGGGGGAAAAATAGAGACTGGGGAAAAATGGAGAGAGAAATTTTTTGAACAAAAAACAATTTAAAGAGATGTTGCAGAATGAAATCATGAATAGAGATCCCGAGAATAGAGAATAAGATCTGACCAAAAGAGGTGATCAAAAAAGGAGGGGGGTCAAGAGAGAAGTGATATCAAGAAAGAGAGCGGGGGAATTTATTTATAAAGATGAAAAATAATTCCAATAAAAGAGAGAAAGAAGTGAAAACTAAATGATAAAGATTGCTCGAAACAAACAAAGAGAAAAAAATAAAGGAAGGAGAAAGAGCGTGATAGAATGAGAGAGAGAGAGAGACAGAGAGAGACAGAGACAGAGACAGAGAAACGGAAGGTTTATTTTCAAAGCACGAGAGAATGAGATTGATTTACCCCTCAAAAAGCGATAGTCAGAGAGAAGGATGATGCTGATGGTGACGCCGAAATGAAAGAATTACATCTTTGAAATTTTATTTGATTCGTGTAGAACAGAAATCCCAACTTGAATAATCTGATGAACAGAATTTTAAACGATATATGTTGTGAATAGATCGGGAGAAACGGGCGAATATACACGTAAACGTAAGTAAGCAATTTCCAAAAACCCCAGAAGTTTGAAGAAACTACCTTTTATAAAATCAAACATCAGGATACAACAGAAATATTTGAGACTGAATGAGTTTTCAAAATGTCTGCATTTCTATAAAAAATGAAAGGAAAAAGTAATTATTTTAAACGGAACCCCCCCATATATATATATATATATATATATATATATATATGGTTTCATTGATGTGAGTTTGTAACCCTGTGTTTCACGCTTTTACGATCGTCAGACAAACTGATTAATGTTTTTAAAAGTTTGGGATTATGTAGATTGTGTGTATTAGTGTTATTATGAGAGTGAGGGGGAATCGTCGTCGTGATGTCACTCGTGCTAACGCAAAGATAGACGCATGTCCGTACATCAGATGAGATACGCAGACACACATACACACTTGTTTGTCCGTCGGAACTCATACATATATAAACATATGTAAACGGTTTCGGATTTGACATATGTATGTATATGGGGGGTGTTGTGTCTATACATACGCATTGGAAACCGTCCACATATGTTTATATATGTAAACGTTTTCTATTATTTCCATAACAAAAATAGCAAAACATAAACGTCGTACAGTCTATTCACAACATCCAGCACTATACTCGAAAGTGAGTTCTTTTTAATGAAATTTATTTGTATGAATACTTCCAGAATAAATATTCATTATATATATATATATATATATATATATATAAAAAAATTTTGAAATATATATATATATATATATATATATATATATATATATATATATATATATATATATATATATATTTAAAAAAAAAAACAGTGAAATATATATATATATAATATATTCTACATTTTATATATGCTGTTTTAATAAACAGTATTAAACATTTACAGGTCTGAATGTCCGAAAAAAAATCATAGAATATATATATATATATATATATATATATATATATATATATAATTAAAGACTGTGAAATTATATATATATATATACACACATATATATATATATGAAAAACAGTGAAATATATATATAAGAAAACAGTGATATATATATATAAGAGAAACATTGAAATATATATATATAAGAGAAACAGTGAAATATATATATATATATATATATATATATATATATATATATATATATATATATAAGACATTTTTATGTTTCTACATTTTTATATATGCTACTGTTTTATATATAAACAGTATTAAACATTTACAGGTCTGAATGTCCGAGAAATTTTCATGGAATATATATATATATATATATATATATATATATATATATATATATATATATATATATATATAAAAAACAGTGATATATATATATATATATATATATATATATATATATATCTAAAAACAGTGAAATATATATATAAGAAAAACAGTGATATATATATATATATATAAGAGAAACAGTGAAATATATATATATATAAAAGACATTTTTATGTTTATACATTTTTTTAAATATGCTCTGTTTATAATAAACAGTATTAAACATTTACAGGTCTGAATGTCCGAGAAATTTTCATAGAAAATATCGCCCTCCGACAGAAATCGAACCTGTATCCTATACGCAACCGTCATATAGACTGACGTGCTTTAACCAATTGGGCCACAGAGGAGCATTCGGTTAGCAAGTCTGGCTATATGACTCCTATTCGAATATGAGTATCCATAAATAATAACGTTTAAAAAAATTATACATAAATTATATATATATATATATATATATATATATATATATATATATATATATATATATATATATATATATATATATATATAGCATATTTTAGCTGTTTTATTTTTGTACTAGATAATTTTTTTTTTTTTTGTTCGCTCAACTGGGGTACTTTTAGTACCTCATTGTATAAAAGAAACACTAGAAGAAATTCTTGCCACCTTAATTTTCAGAGTGAATGCACATTCAGATACAAAATAATATTTATAAAGAATTTACTAAGGAGATCACGCGAGAATTCTTCCTGAAAGCAACGATTAACTCGTGTATAATAAACAATGAGCAAAAACTAAAAATTGTTGAAGCTATATACATAAAACAGTTGACACCTAACCTGAAAAAAATAAACTACGAAATCTTCAGAAACATTCTTAAATGCCTATAATTGATAACAGAAGCTATTTGTTTATACCAACGGCTTCCCATACTTAATACTTTTCCGCGTCTCGTATATTAAGCGGGTATTGAACTCACACGCTTTGGGTCCTGTCACTGGATCTACCTAACGCCTTTATCCACTCTGCCATGTGTCCAAAGAGTGTGAGTTCAATACCCGGTTAAGGCAGTGGAGAACATTCAGAGGGAAATTAACAAGAGATAACTGGCATCCATTAAACATGGCACGTGTAAATAGAACAATCTACCCCAGTGAGCGAAATAAAGGGTTCAGTTCGACATTCCAACCACCTGAAGAAGGCCGGAGCGTTCAACGGCCGAAAATATAATAAATATGGCGAAAAAGATCAGGAAAATAGTCCGAATAATGTAAACAATGTACATAATACCTCATCTCGGAAATATAAACAGTTACTATACTTTATATATAAGATATAAAAAAGAACAAACATTTTGTTAAAAAAAAAAACAACTTTTTATTCCTTTATTGAAATGGAATACAGTAAGCCAAACCTGAGGTATATTAAGCTTTTATCATTTTAAGATGGAGAACAGCTAATTAAAAGAACTTATAGATGTAGTGATTTTCCAAGCGTAGCTTAGATGTGGCACAAGGCCGAATGTAGGGGGCACCTAGTGAGGATCGAACTCACTACTCAGTCGTAATTGTTCTAGCGAGACAAACTTTCTAGCCATTACACCGCCTCGAGGTGCCCTATTGTGATTTTCCAAGCGTAGCTCAGATGTGGCACAAGGCCGAAAGTATGGGGTACCCAGTGAGGATCAAACTCACTACTCAGTTGTAATTGTTCTAGCTAGACAAGCTTGCTAACCATTACACCACCTCGCGGTGCCCAAGAACTTATAGATGTATGTGAATCATCAAACCTGTCAAAAGTGTTTTTGCCTATTATCGTGTTGTCGATTTCCCGCAAGCGTAATCCATTGTCGTACAGAACATCTTAAGACGTCAGCGATTAAAACAAGAAATTACTTTAGAATTATCAGCGTTATACGACGTGGAACATCGTCAACATATTCTAAATTTCAAAATCAAAAATGAAAATGATTTACGTCTTCGTCGCTTCCATGTTTGGATCCAACTGGATCATATTCCGTGTGAGGTTTAAAATAAATGAGGTCTTCCCGAAAAGGAACAAAGGATTGATTTGAACAACTACTTTTTCAAATTGGAAAAGCTCAGAGAAACAATGGAAACTATTCTTTTCTTGAAATGTTTCCCGATTTCTGCTTACTCATTTACTAATTAGGAACCTGAAATCGGATGTACCGATATCAGCGCGAAAAGATAACATCATCGGACTGAATTCATATCCCGAACGATTCTGTTTCGTTTACATCGAACCAATGAAGGGTTAAATACATGTTCCTATTGTTATGGGGTAAAATATTAAGGCAGACTGGCCTCTCTTTAGGGTGGCAACCAGAATAGAAGGAAAATCCCGGAAGAGTAATCGAGACGGCTGCAGTAGATGTGATTCACCTACGGACTAAATTAATTCTGGACTTGTGACGTGACCTGTAAAGAGAAAATCACGCAAAGTTCTGCAAGCATAACGGTACATTGCAAGTTTCTTTGATGGCCAGACAAAAAGATTTACAATGGTGGACGTTACATTGAATTTGTTGTATTCTTTAGATCTTCCAACTTTAAGTTAGTATTTATTACACTCATTGTAAAATTACTGAAATAATTTAAATAGTTTAGATGAATAAGGTGGATTAATAGATAGCGGCTCGGACTGAGGAATCAGTAGAGCCAAGTTCGAATTCCACTCGAATCCATTACATACACTTACGTGTTAATACACTTGGAACAATTATGAATCCTTTTTTTCTCCCCTCATCTATGGGTAAATAGCAGGACAACTAGAGGTGGTACGCTGTTGTAATGGATAGCGGCACGGATATAGGAATCAGAGTTCGAATTCTACTCAAATCCATTACATAAACTTACGTGCTAATATCCTTGGGAAATGTATTAATACGCGACTTCTTCCCCCATCTATGGGTAAATAGTAGGGCAGATCGGGTTCTCTAGCCTTGGATGGCAACTGGTCTACCGCAGAAAGAAATGGCAACCTACTAAGGAAAAAAATCTGGCTCGTCAGTCATGTATCGAAAGATACGTGATCGCCTAGGCGTGTATCACGCATAGCAGATAACTGAATTTTAACATTGCTCGGAAGCTATTAGTAAATAGCAGGACAGACCGGGTTCTATAGACTTTGATGGCAACTGGTCTACCACAAAGAAACTGCAAGATATTGCGGAAATCTACCTCGTCAGTCATGTATCGAAAGATACATGATCGCCTAAGCGTGTATCACACATGGCAGATAACTGACTGAATACAAAATCTCATTAGACCTTTTATTTGTCAAGAAATTTCTGGGAGGATGCATTTTAATGATGTCAAAAAGACAGTAAAAGATAATGAAAAGAAAAAGCAATATATTCGTAAATAACGTTACTGTTAAAATAATGTCATTTTTTTTTCTAGAGAAACAAAATTCTGGAAAGGAGAGGTGCTTACGGGGTAAATCTTCTAGCAACACACCTAACTGGTTTTAATTAAGACATCTTCTTCCTCTGGATTGGTTGCCAATCAAAGATAGAAATTCCAATTAACAACTTGCTACAGAGAAATGATGGGATCGATTCATAACTTTTTAACGACAACTAAAGGAATGGCCTCGACTGTAATTTGAACGTGATAAGCTAATTATACTCTCAGCACCGATAAACGCCACTCAACACAAATATCCTCTTTAACATTATAAATCCAGTATAAGGAGCAATGGCGCATGTTCTGAAAAGGGCTTGTGACATAAAACTAAGGAAATAAAAAATATCCCAACAAGAACATGTTAAAATAAGAGGAGAAATACAGCACCAGATTACGACAACACCTCAACAAAATGTGACCTTTGCCGAGAGGAAAAAGAAGAACAGTAATTAGATTTCCACGAACATAAAATCATAAACTAAAGATAGGAACTCAGTTTCAAGTGCAGATAAATTTGTATTATACTGCCTACAAGCATCACGTTTCAAAAAAGATTATTTTTAAAAAAATCAATGTTTTAGAATCACAAATAAATAAACGAAATAAAAGGAGAATTTAAATAAACCAACTAAAGCAATAAAGAACCTAAAATATTAGCACTATGCATAAGTACTAGTAATAAGTACAAGTAATAAGTACTAGTGATAATTACGCTAAATTTCACACTACACGTAAGACAACAATATCATGTGCCCGCGCACAAATAATAGAATCTGTAGGTCGAATTTGTTGTGAATTTGAGTGTAATAATGCAGTACTGATTATACCTTGTCTTCGTTAGATCTATCTATCTATCTATCTATCTATCTATCTATCTATCTATCTATCTTAATCACTATCTCATCATCCTCACCATTAACATCATCATCATCATCATCCTTCGATCTCCCTATAATTAGTTGGTCAAAACTATACTGACAACCCCTTTTCACACTGTTCAGTCCTGCATTGCTGACCCAAGATCCACAATGTCCAACTCTGAGTACCGAGCTATGGTGTATAGGAAATTCAATTGTCGTGAGATGACACCTCCAGATGGATGCCACTGGAGTAAGGATGAGACGATCTCCCTGTTCGCTTGGTGAGAGTGGCCGGTAAAGTGCAAACGCTTTTGTTTCATTCAAAAACAGATTTGTCTCAGTTCTCCGTAAATTGTGTTAAGATTTGCATGGATCTCCATCTGATGTCCTGGATTTTTCTAAGTAGATTTGTAAATGTTCCAGTTAGTCGTCTTTCAAGACGAACAGATAATATTCAAGTTTCTGATCTAGACAGTCGGACTAGTTCAAATCAATGTACGAAAGGTTTTGACTTTTAAGGAGCATGTAAGGTTCGAACACCAAATTTGATGAAATTTCTTACACGAATTCCATAAAAGATCTTTGCATTGTTGGAATCTTTTTTTTAATCTATCTATCTATCTATCTATCTATCTATCTATCTATCTATCTATCTATGAGAACTTGTTTCTATCTATCTATCTATGAGAACTTGTTTCTATCTATCTATCTATGAGAACTTGTTTCTATCTATCTATCTATCTATCTATCTGTCTATAACTTGTTTCTATCTATCTATATATCTATCTATAACTTGTTTCTATCTATCTATCTATCTATCTATGTATCTATTCACCACAATCATCATCATCATCATCATCATCATCATCATCATCATCATCATCATCTCTTTCTTTCTCTCTCTCTCTCTATATATATAATATATATGAAAGGCAGGATATTTGTGTGTGTGTGTGTAACGAATGCACGGCCGCAATTTTCGACGGATTTGCACCAAAATTTACATGCACATGCTCCAAGTTAGCGGAAGGCCAAGACCGACTTTGCGTTTCCTAACTCCCATCGATAGTGGAAATAATCGATTTTTTCATGCTTTTAGGGCAGTTTTCATGTAGTTTGCAGTCATTTTTTACTGGCTAGAGTGAGAGCCTATAGCTGGCTGCCACGAATAGTCAGGAAGGTTCTATTGGTCAGCGTGAGAGCCAACAGCTGACTGAGACGAATGTTAACTAGCATGCTAGCATGCAAAAAAAATCGATAGCTGCATTCGTCACAAGTGGGAAAAATTTAAATCTGCATGGCACTTTACTCTAATTGGCTCATTCGCTTGCTTAAACTCAACGTTGATTCTGATTCCTCAGAATGGGTTGGGTGAAAAAAGTATTTGTTGTTAACATTCTTTTTCATTCGATTTTTCCAGTTAAGAGTCCTTTTTTAAAGCTGATCGTTTTGTGTTCATTTTGTTTAGTTCTTTTTTCGTAACAGATTTAATGTTTAGTATAGAGTTTAGAAAAAATTCGCGTGAGATAGGCAAGAAATAAGTCATGTAGCAACATCAGCACGGCAAAGGGCACTCTTTTAAAGGCAAGGAAGGGCAAACATATATATATATATATTCGGATAATTGTTCCTGGAATACGTTGATCAAATAAGAATAATATATAAAAGATATAAAATCATTCCCTTAAGAAGAACAATAATGAAACACTTTTCCTCAATCTATAAGTGCATGCAATTAAATATATATATATATATATATATATATATATATATATATATATATATATATACTCAAAGATAGAATGAAAAATGTTTTGCGTATCAAAAGTGCAGAATAATTGATTACAGATTGCTTGGGTATACGACGAACATTCTTTAGAGAATCGATATGACATAAAGTGAGAAACGTAAGTAAATTTATTTAATTTGAGATTTTCTTTACTCGCAAAGTACATGTAAAGAAATTCAACATTTTAAATAAAACATCCTTGCAAAAAATGTGCTTCCATTTCCTTAAAAATCGAGATTGAAATTAGCCAATGTGGTTCTTTCATGACCTTTCAGAATTCAATCAATATCAATCGGTCTCGTTTTTTCCTTTCCATGCGCATAGAAGCATTTTTTGGATTTGCTCATTAAAAAGCAGTTTAAAATCGCTTCAGAATGTTCCCTTTAATAAATCGCTTGAACTTTAACCTTAAGTAGTTTTAGTCAAATTTTTTAACAAAACTTAACCTCAACTTTGAAGATTTCAGTCGCATTTCGTTGAATCTGTATTTGAAAATTGTCCATGAATTTTCCACAAACTGTTAACGATTTCCTGTCTGCATGCAAGTCAAGCCTCGCTTTCATACTGGTCACGTGATAAAGAAATTTAATGCAAAGCATCCCGTTACCATTTTTCCTTCACTAATGCCAGTTGAAAACATTTCGTTGCAATGATATTATTTAATGCTTGCAATGCATTTCAATTGAATGAGATGATAAATTTGAATTTGTGCATATCTGATGCTCGCCATTTATAATTGGTAATATTTATGATTCACAATTGGAGAAAGAAATTAAAAGGACTTATACGCCTTCGGAAAGTCAGTGTCCGGCTTCCAATTATTTGCTATAGATTTGCTTGAGTTCGAATGCATTCTGTATTTATATTTTTGGAATTATTGAGCAGTAGCAGTGTCCAAACATGTTTATGGTTTTTAGAAAACGCGACTGTAGTTAAAAAAGAAGCCATCTTTTATAAATTTGATGAAGATTTAAAAATATTGTATAAATTACAGTAATCGAAATACTGAGAAACAAAATGTGTAGTTATTATTAATATAAATTTTAGCTCTTATTATTATTATGACCAGCAGCAATTACTGAGCATTATATACATACATACATACATACATATATATATAAATTAATGTGTTTACATATATATATATATTGAAAAATTAGAAATACTGATTCATTCGTACTACAAACACCATAATATCAACACTTTTTATGAGCCCCCCCTCTAGTACTCTATATATATATATATATATATATATATATATATATATATATATATATATATATATGTATATATATATATATATATATATATATATATATATATATATATATATATATATATATATATATATATATATATATATAAATATATATATATATATAATATATATATATATATATATATATATATATATATATATATATATATATATATATATATATATATATATATATATATATATATATATATATATATATATATATATATATATATATATATATATATATATATATATATATATATATATATATAATATATATATATATATATATATATATATATATATATATATATATATATATATATATATATATATATATATATATATATCAACACACGAAATATTTTTCATAACCCGTACAGTCATTTTCCTAATCGGTTAACACCTCATTATTAAAAGAGATCTTTTCTTTGTGGATATTAGACTGTTCAAACCCACAACTATATTTCTTTCTAATATTCCTAGCATTTTTTTTCTTCCAAACCTTGTTTTGAGAAGTATGGAAATTTAACTTCGCCATTAACATCATTGCCCATTTGAATAAAGTTTATCGGTGCTGAAAACGAAATCCTTGTTGGCTTCTGTTTTTCTATTTTGGAATTATATTTAAAATACAATCATGAACCCTCCATATCCTAACTATTTCATTTCCAATGCAGATCAAAAGGCTTATAAAATATTCTAAAATGAATGAGCTGTCCTTCCTGACAAACCTCACGTATGAAAAACACACACACATTACACACACACACACACACACACACACACACACATGTGTGTGTGTGTGTATATATATATATGTGTGTGTGTGTGTATATATACATATATATATATGTGTGTGTGTGTGTGTGTGTGTATGTTTGTGTACATATATTTATATATATCACAATAGAGATTAAGAGAAACCAAAAAGAAAGGAGGCAACGATAGATTTAAACATAGTTATAAACTGACTGAAACATGAATCAGCATGCATATCTCTCTCTCTCTCTCTCTCTCTCTATATATATATATATATATATATATATATATATATATATAATTATTTTTTAAAATATGATTCCATTGCGACTCAAATTTGAAATAAAAAAAAAATACTAAAGAACGAAACATCAGTCTAACATTTCTTTCCTATTATATCAACACACACATACATACACACACACACACACACACACACACACACACACACACACATATATATATATATATATATATATATATATATGTATATATATATATATGTTTTGAACAATAAAAATTATTAAAAAATTAAAATTTTCAGACTCACTGTGTTGGGTAGTAACATTTTTTCGTTTTATTATTTCAATTAGACTCTTTGACTATTTTCGGCCAGCATAGATAGATAGATAGATAGATAGATAGATAGATAGATAGATAGATAGATAGATAGATAGATAGGAATAGGGAGTGAGAAAGGAGAGATAGAGAGTGAGCAGAAAAAGGGAGTTATAGGGAGAGAAAAAGGGAGAGATAGAGAAAGAATAATGAATAGAATAAAGAAAGAAAGAAAGAATGAAACGAATCAAACAAACAAATAAAAAGACTAACAAAGATAATGTTTATTTTAAATTCTAAAATAATCTCCGCATTTAAATTCACAGGTGTGGTATGTCAAATATCTTCACTCGATATAAATATATTTCTTTAGAGGTTATCATATCTGATTAAGGGTTTTCGATCCCAAGAGCAACCAATTTTTTTTTCCAAGGTTAATTACGAACACTTTTAATCGAACTTAAATGAATTTCCATTTCTTCGAATCATTGATCTTCACATCGCCTGAATCGCATCGTCTCAATCTTTGGCTTGTAATTTTTTTACTCAGAATAACTTAATACAATCAACATTTTAATACCATTTTTAGAAATGCAACCTCTTAATGTCATTTTTGCAATGACTATTTCAAGCAACATCAAGAATGAAGTCCCGCTTTTAAAATCCCTTTTATTTTCAAAAGTCAACTAAAATTATTTCATGCAAATTTGAGGGGCGGGGAGTAATCTTTTTTTTTTAAGCGTTTCACCCCATGCAAAGCGGGAAGCCACTAGCACGCCATCGATTACAGAGAGTTGGAGTGAGAGCAAATAGGAGTGATAGAAGAAAGGATGAAGAGAAGGATAGGGGATAGATCAAGGCATCTGGAGATACCGATTGACATTACATTTGAATAGTTGGAGATTATATAGCTATCAGGGAAATAGGAACAGGGGAGAGAGTTCCAAAAACGAGAAGTGCGAGACATGAAGGTATTGCAGTTGAAGAGACGACTACATTTAACAGTTTCGACAGGGAAAGGGTGTGAGTGAGATGCCAGCCTAGTAGACCGCTTAAATTCCTGAAGTTTGGGAAGCAGCGAAAAGAGCTCCTTGGAGCAGTTACCATGAAAGTATTTGTAAAAAAAAAAGACAGATTCATGTTCATATATTGATCAACCGATAATGTCTTCCTCTTTTTTCTATCATTCGCCTTCAGGATAATTTCCTATCCTTTGTAGCTCTGAGTAATTCTCCAATGTGACTTGTCTTTTTGCTCACTGTTTTAAGCTCTGTTATACAATCCACTTACTGAAGCTCGTTGTTTTTCTTGGTCTTCTGTTTGCCGTGACCCTTCAGGACGTTGG